AGCCTTGCCTTGGAGGTGAAGTGTGGACTGTATTGAAAAGGAGGTCTGTCACCCATGTTTTTAACATTTTGCAACTGGCTTAACGGAAGTATAGTGTGGTTCTCTGCGGACGGTTGGGCGTGTCAGTGCGGCTGCGTTTGGCGCGGTGCCAAACTCGTTCTCCACCAGTTGTTGAAGCGAGCAAGTGACAATACTGTATCATATCCTTCGTATTACTCGTTTTCTACCACTTTTTGTCGCATGCGCACTTCAACAAGAAGGCAGAGAACCTCAACTGGGTGACACACTCATACTGGCTAACACGCCCAACCGTCCGCAGCGAACTAGAGTGTATAACAATCGATTTATCGCTATATACGTTCGAAAAGGTTGCTAAGGTCATTGTTTTGAAGAAAACCTGTTCAGAGGTCGATTTGATAACGAAGCGGCGCAATTTTACTGTGCAGCAGCAATCGAAGCTTTCCAATACCTACATGATCAAAATATTGTCTTCCGAGACTTGAAACCGGAAAATATGCTCCTTGATAGGAACGGATATCCAAAACTGGTGAGATTTTCAACGTTCGAGGTGATTTCCTAGGGACTTACAGGCGACATGTTACAGGTTGATTTTGGTTTCGCAAAGCGTCTAGGTGCAGAGGGTCGAACGTGGACGTTTTGTGGTACTGCTGAATACGGTGAGCGCATAGTTTTTAATCGAAGTTTAAGAGGAAAACAACGATGTTTGTTTTTTGTGAGAGTATTTGATTCCCACTCTCTACCTAAACGGGAACTGAACATGCATTAAGTTCAAAAGGCGGTCACGATTGCCATGGTCATTGCCACTTCCCATGTACACAGTACGCCGTAGAAAGTGCCAAGTAAAGTGATCACTCTACCTTTGTTGCCGCGATAACTCCATTTCCTGCTGAGAGGGCAGTGATGAACGTGCGAAAAGCAGAGAGTGCCCTGTAGATAGTGCCGTGATCGCTCCACCTCTATTACGCTATTATTACGTTGAGATAGCTGTTTTCAGTACTTGTTGAGTGCCGTGGCAGCGCCAAGTGTGCGAAAAGCAGAGAGTGCCTTGTAGATAGTGCCGTGATCGCTCCACCT